ACACACACACACACACACACATTCTAACAGACGTATACACCCCTCCCCATACCCACTAGCACAAATGTTCCCATATTCAAACAAGCATAGGTGCACAGGATACCTAAAAGTGCACGTCCCTGTTTACCTGTCAAAATACACTCGAACTAGACAGCATTTTAGCCAGACAGCATTTTAGCCAGACAGCATTTTAGCCAGACAGCATTTTAGCCAGACAGCATTTTAGCACACCCTCACAAAGGCACACGAATGCATTAAGTCCATCGGTGCCTTTGTATTTCTAAACAGAGGCAATACATTCAGTGCCATACTGTGTCTGTTGTGAGGGTACGACTTTTAACATATTTTACTGTTTCTGCTGTTGAACATTTGTGTCCCTGCCAGTCAATATCAGTCATATGAAGGAAATTTCAAAATTTAGTTAACATTAATTTTATAAAACGATCACCTTTTCCTTACAATTTAAAACAAGAATGAAGTACATATGACCATATGTGACGAAAATAGAGAACTTTTAATTGTGCTAGGTGAGGAAAGTCAAAAAGGAGAAAATGGCCTCCGAAGTTGAGCAACATGTTTCCATAGCAACAGGGGTATTAGAATTGAGATAGCGACTTCAAATTTAGCAGTTATCTTGGCTATGCCACTTCAAGGTGATATACGGAAGTAGAAAACTATTCATGTAAAGAGAAAAAACTAATAGACAAAACAACATTTTCCCGAAAATGGATTTCACGTCAAATGCTACAAAATATTAGCATTCTGCTAGGTACCAGATACTAATTTTTCAAGTAGCTGTATGTTAAATTCGTTTGTTTCATATGAAAGGCCTATGTCTCATGAGAATGTTGGTACCATACGTTTACCCCCCCCCCCGTCAATGTTTAAGAGAATTGCAGCTGTTTCAATTTAACCTTATCAAATATTGCTGAAGTCGCTAACTGGCTGCAACCCCATGATTAACAGAAGATAAAAGAGTAGCAAGTGCACCAAACAGCTCTACATTAACAGAGTACAATCAGTATAACAAAAAAATGAAGCCTAATTTTTTTCAAGACTGTGAAATCATTACAAATCAGTATTCTATTGCCTCAAACACGATGATCTATCGTTATTTCAATTAAAACACCGAGCGTTGTCCCAGCCGGCGTCGAACCGGTCCCCGCGGCGAGCGAGTCGGCTCAATACTGTAGTGGACTGAGTTCTACCCGGAGTTTCGCGGAAGGATTCATGCAAAATAATTCCAAGCCAAGAAACAGAACTGTTCTTTCTATTGGTATTTTTTAAGCCGGTATTTTACACTTTTCGTTTTTAATATGATCTTTGAAAACTTAGACGCTTTTTTTTTCAAGGTTTTCTATCTAAATCGCCAAAGGCCAAAATTAATAACCACGGGAAGCCACGTTCAAAGCTGTAAAGCTGTATAGTTCTCCGCCAATGAAAAGACGGTATTAAATCATCAATCTTCCTGCAAAGCATTCGAATGCACGGGTTTCAATATTGAACCTGCCGACCTCGCATTCCAACCACGACTCTTTCCGCAGCGATTCTCCAGCTCCAAATACTCGGATATAAAAACAACACAGACTATCGTAACTTTAAAAATCTGAAGTTTTTCAGAGTGTTCAAGATTTGGTGTTTATAGCAAAAGAGCGAAGGAACAGAGATCTGAATTACCCCCCATTTCACCGAAATCACGCGCTCGGAAGGCCGCGAGTCGGTTTACGTGCCGTGCTTACGCTACCTAATTATACGTTTGCAATAGCACCATAAACACACGAGAGCACAAACACAAACACAAA